GTTCCGCCGCATACACATCCTTCCAGCCATCCCCCCAACCCTCCATCCATCCCTCCGCGTACACACCCCTCCATCCCCATACACACCCCTCTGTCCATCCCCACATCCCTTCCATCCATTCATTCCTCCACGCACACACCCCTCCGTCCATCCATCCCTCCGTGTACACACCCCTTGTGACGAAGTGGAGGGTTTTCTTGTTTTCTGTGGAGTTTCAATGGTTTGCATGCAGAGGGGGTGGGACTCAGTTACCCTGGGTATTACTGGTTTAACGAGGTGAGGGGAGAGGGAGTGTGTTTTGCAGAGGACTGGAGAGAGGATGTGGGGACCCAGCCGATGGCCGGGAGGATGGATACCCCAGCGACCGGTGACCTGGCGACGTGGTGACCCAGAGGCCCAGCTGAGGAGATGCAGCCGGTTCTGGCCAGTGGGAGGACAATGGGCTGCAGAGTGAGGACCCCGTGACCTAACTAGCCGGTTCCAGACAAAGGACAGAAGCAGGAGAGGAGGCCCCGGTTTACGACCCTGTTTACCTGGAGAGAAGACAATGGACAGAGGCGGGGCTTGGGGCCGGGGATCTCAGATGCCCAGATGGGAGCAGGGGGGCTCTGGGCTGGAGAGGGGAAGCAAGCGTCCCCTCCCCTGGATGCAGGGGAGACTGGGATGTGCTGTGCTGAGGGAGGCCAGGCCTGAGGGTCAGAGAGTTTCCTGTGCTGTGTTCAACTCTCAATAAACCCTCCTGTTTCTTGCTGGCTGAGAGTCACTCCCGTCTAGAGAACAGGGTTGCATCAACCCCTTCGGGGGTGGAGGCCCCGGGGGTCCAGAGCGAGTGGACTTCCTGAGGGGGCCCACGGCAGAGACAGACGTGCTAAGGCTCAGAGAGGTGCGGATCCAGGAGGTGGAGGGGCCTGACCCCGAGAGAGAGTGGACCCCCGAGAAGGGCTGTCTCACTAAAAGGGACACCCACACGGACCGCACAGGGCCAAGAGTGGGCACGATCTGTGAGTCCGTGACACCCCTCCATCCCCATACACACCCCTCCATCCCCATACACATCCCTCCATCCACCTCCCCCAGCCCTCCCTCCGTCCATCCCTCCCCATACACACCCCTCCGTCCATCCCCTGCAACCTTCCATCCCTCCCTCCATGTGCACACCCCTCCATATACACACCCTTCTATCTCTCTATCCCCATACACACCCCTCCGTCCATCCATCCCTCCCTCCATCCATCCCTCCGCGTACACACCCCTCCGTCTATCCCCCCCATCCTCCATCCCCATACACACCCCTCTATCCCTCCATCCATCTGCGTACATACCCCTCCATCCATCCACCCACCCATACTCACCCCTCCGTCCATCCATCCATCCATCCATCCCTCCGCGTACACACTCCTCCATCCATCCCCCAACCCCCCATCCATTCCCCCACAACCCTCCACGTACACACTCCGCTGTCCATCCCCCCATACTCACCCCTCCATCCCTCCATCCCTCCGCGTACAAACCCCTCTGTGCATCCATCCCCCCGTCCACCCATCCATGCCTCTGCCCATTAATCCCTCTGCATACCCACCCCTCCATCCATCCCCCCCACACCCCTCCATCCATCCACCCATCCCCACACACCTTTTCCATCTGTCCATCTGTGCCCAGCCGCCATGATCCCTGGCCAGTTCCCAGGCAGGTCTGTAGCCAGTCCACACCCAGCGCCTGCTTCCCCCACAGCTTAGCCCAGTGCACACATGGCCAGACTGATTAACCCTCGAACTGCTGGATGCCGGCCGCTCACTCACCTTGGGTCTGCACCTCCGTGTCATTGAGAGCCAGGTCGAAACGGGTGCCCGGTTCCTCCAGCCCGTAGCGGCAGCTGAAGACCCCACCGGGGCCCAGGGCCTGCTCCTCTGGGAGATTGAAGCCAGCCAGCCCATCGTCCCCCTTGGCTGCGATCCAGGCCAGGGGCTCAGGATCCCCGTCTCGGTACAGGAAGAACCAGCCACCCGGGGCGTCGGGGATGGAACAATTTACCCGGAGCTTCCCACCCACGTCCACGAACCGCTCCTGGGCACTGGGAACATCTGGAAAAGCCAAGAGCCCCCATGAGATGCTGCTCCAGCCCCGCATAGCCCCGGCTGTACCCGTGCCAGGGCAGGATCATTGGCCTGCAGGGGGCGCTTCCACTAGGGTTACCATACGTCCAGATTTCCCGGACACGTCCGGCTTCTTGGTCCTCAAATCCCCGTCCGGGAGGAAATTCAAAAAAGCTGGACATGTCCGGGAAAATAGGGAGGGGTCGTGGGGCCGGGCTGGAGCCGCTGGGGCCGACCGTGCTCGGCCGCCGGCCAGTGCCGCTCAGCCAGGGCCGGGGCCGGGCCGGAGCCGCTCAACCGGAACCGGGGCCCGAGCCGCTGGGACTGGGGCTAGGGGTGCTCGGCCACTGGCCGGCGCCGCTCGCCCAGGGCCAGGGCCGGGCCGGAGCCGCTTGACCGGAACCGGGGCCCGAGCCGCTGGGACTGGGGCTGGGGGTGCTTGGCTGCTGGCCGGCGCCGCTCGCCCAGGGCCGGAGCCGGGGCCAGGCCAGAGCCACTCATCCGGAACCGGGGCCCGAGCCGAGCTGGGCCGGAGCCGCTGGGACCAGGGCTGGCACCGCTCGGCCGCCGGCTGGTGCCGCTCGGCCAGGGCCGGTGTCCCGGGGCCCGAGCCGAGCTGGAGTCGGTAGGGCCAGAGCCGCCGGCGCTGGGGCGGGCCGGAGCCACCGGCGCTGGGGCAGGCCAACATGCTCGGCTAGAACCGGGGCCGGCGCCCCAGGGCCTGAGCCAGGCCGGAGACGCCGGGGCCAGAGCCTCTTGGCCGGGGCCGGCCGCCGGAGGGAGCCGCTTGGCCGGGGTGGCCAGACTGGGCCGCGCCTCCTCGCGCCCCCCCCACCCACTGCCACCGCCCCAGCCCCAGCTTACCTGCTGCCTGCCTGCCTCAGGCTTCCCATGAACATTTGATTCGCGGGAAGCAGGGGAGGGGGAGGAGCAGGGGGCGGAGCTTTCAGGGGAGGGGGTGGGGTTGGGGCGGGGCCGGGCGGGAAAGGGGCAGAGATGGGGCAGGTCCGGGGCCCCGTGGAGTGTCCTCCTTTTAGAATATTAAAATATGGTAACCCTAGCTTCCACCCACGGACCCCATGGCACCACCCCATAATGCACTGGGGTGCATTAGCCAGCAGCCCTCGGTCCTGGGCCTCTGCAGAGCTCCCACCATGCACTGGGGGTGCATTACCCACCATCCCTCGGTCCTGGGCACCATGCAGAGCTCCCACCATGCACCGGGGGTGCATTACCCACCAGCCCTCACTCCTGGGCCTCTGCAGAGCTCCCACCATGCACTGGGGGTGCATTACCCACCAGCCCTCGCTCCTGGGCCCCCTTCAGAGCTCCCACAATGCACCAGGGGTGCATTAGCCACCAGTCCTACACACCCCTCTATCCATCCCTCCCCTATCCCTCCATCCTTCCCCATACACACCCCTCCATCCCCCCTTCCATCCATCCATATAGACAACCACCCACCCCTCCATGAACCCTCCAGGCAGCCATCTCTCCA